ATTAGACCATGCCTTTTCCAAACAGACTTACGGGCCGTCAACAAATGGGATGTACTCCCTGGACTGAAATGTGTTTGTGCTACCCCTTATAAGGTGCAGCTACGATAATAGCTCGGGATAGAAATCAACTCACATATGAGCAACGCAGATGCTTTTGTTCTACAAACGGTGCTCTTGAAGAAATTTCTACCAACATAAAGAAATCTTTCGTCCACCTTTGCGGTGATGGCTTAAAAAAAAGCAATAGTTTTTATTATTTCATTCATTTTTGATTGCCATTTCAATTATTCAACTACTTTGCGTTTCGAATCAAGCGAAACATTGTACAAACAACGTAAAAACTTTATTCGTCCAAAAATGATGAACGTACTGGTCTAGTAAAGGTTGATTCCTATTGCTTTCTAAGTTCCGTAACCGCAAAGCCCTACACTAGTAATCCCACCTTTGATGTTGCATTCAGACTGATCCGCAACTAATTTATTATCAAACCAATGCATCACCTCCGCTTGGCGGAGGTTCGCACTGGCTCTGCTATCCGTTTGCCTTTCTTGTGCTCCAATGATGACTTTGAAACTCACCGCGCGAAGCTGAACATCACAAATGAACTGTAAACAGCTGTTCATTTTTGAAGCATCTCCAAGTAAGATCAGTAATTTTGAGAAAGAAAACCTTTTCGCAAGGGAACAAATGCGAATTTGTACGTATTACTGAATTTGTTTTAGTTTGATAATCGTCATAAGGGTAATAGTCACCTTGGGCTACATTTTCGTGCAAAAAATGTTTTCAGATTCTTAGGTATAACCTTGACAAATTGGCCATCTACGCGATCACCACTTTTTGGCGCTGTTTCCGCAGAAAAGCAAACTTTTCGTGCACTTTTTGAGCTAAAATTCATGAGGCGCAGATTTTCAGGCAAATCATGACTTTGCAAAATGTGGCATTAGCGACCTAGTTTCGCGAGCCAAAAGTCGCGTGGACCCGTTTGACGCGCAAATTTTGAAGGACCCGCTTGTCGGAAGGGCTCGCCTTTGTACATAGTGACCTACATGCTGGTATGGTATGTTATGCAAAACTGTAGCTCGAAAGCTTGGCTGCAGCTCCCTCTATGAATTTCGCGACAGACAGACGTACGCACACATATCCACACGCACAAAAAGACAGACGTTTAGCGCTTTATTACAAGTCATGATCCGCGGATCTTCTTTTCTCTGATCGCAATTGCAGAATGATAATACTTGTTACTTGTCGAATAATCCAAATACAGTTATAGAACAAGCAGGTAGGATTATGGGCTAATGAACAAATACTACGAAAAAAATTTAGTGCACTGCATTAGCCGTAGATGTAGGGCAATGCTCTGGGATGAAATTCTCAAGAATAACGACTAAATAACGCCCACGATGTGACCAACCGGTGAATCGTACGTATTCCTGTCAATTCGAACAATACGATCTACCGATATGTCGTAGTTTCTGAAATTCTCATTCTGCCGGCCAACGCTGAGCAAATTCATGGAAGTGGCAACCATCTGGAGATATTTATCAGGATTTCTAATCAACGTGGCCAAGGATTGGGGTCTTTAACACTAAGGTTACAACAAAGTATGCCGTAAGGAAGGATCAGGCGCAGAACTTAGCTCAAATTTTCAGTGATTTATGAGGGCATCATCAGGCAAATGTGTCCTATAAAGGTTTTTTCTGGTTGCTCATCGAGTTTCCAAGAAAAAATGCTATCCTAAAACACTAACATCCGCTCCGAAAATCGGAAGGGATGAAGGAAATTCATTGGCATGTGTTTTCTATAGTGGCCATAAATCGTCTGTATATTGTCAATCAGATCTTCGATTACGCCATTCTGGAAAATGCATGTGCGCAATTTTCCTATTTTTTGCTTCAAACTGCTTCAAACTCGAGAAATTTGAATTTTAGCTTGGACCAGATGACTTGCGAAAACTGTACTCGATATTTTTCGAGAACTAGAGCTTGTAGAGAGCTGGAAATTCACGTTTATACTTCTACAGGTCTGTAGTATACAACTACTTATGTGGGAACGGCACAGCATCACTTTGGCAAAAGCACGAAAATTTCCGTTTTCTTGATTTCTAACAGAGAAAAAAATACGGCATAGGCGTGTATAGGAATGTGAATAGTGAATAGTGTTTACGTGAGCAAGCTAGAATTTTTGTAGGTTTTTTATGAACTGAGTTAAGATTTTTCTGAATTTTTCGGACAATTGCATCTTTTTAGTTTTCGGCTCGAAACTCGTGGTGGATCAAAGTCGTTGCTAAAGCAAGACCGCCACCTTGTAGAGATTGCTTGCTCTATCGAATGGTGCTTTGCTTGCTATCTAGAGCTGAGAAGTGCAAGACTTATTGCGGTTGGAATTTAAAACCTGCATTAATTCTGTTACAACCTGATGGAAAAAACCTGTAAACCTCCATCTTAATCAAGCATCTGCTATCCACTCAGAACATTCATGTGCACACTTGCTCTTTTTCTGTTTTTGTAGCTAGGAAATCGAATAATGAAGATAACCCAACATGAAATCTCTTTTTCGGATTTTTTATGCTAAATTTAAATTTTCTTGACAACCGATTCTGAAGAACGCTGAAAATTGTTATGCTTATAAAGGTTTGTAGTATAGAATTACTTATATCGAAAAAATCCAGTACTGCTTTTGCCAGAGCATAAGAATTAAATTGCAGCCGTAGAATACAGCAAGTGTAACGTATGGATAGCTGGTAAGTAACTTTCTTGAGTAAGTTGGAAGTTTGTAGGACTTTTTGACAAAAATGTCATTTCTGGCCGTTTAGTTCTCAGATTTTTTTTGAACTTTCCGCGTATCAAACATTTAGCGACCGTTTGAACGTTAGTTAATAGAAGTTGCTTTGCTCTATTAAATGATAAGTTTCATACATTCTTATATCTTTTCTGCCGCATAACGACATGCATTGATTCTGCAACAACTTCAAAGAATAAGTTGTCGGAAATCAGGTACGATTCAAACAATGTAGTTGCTGACTTGTTTTTTATGAGACTATGTCGCTGTCACGTCATACCTGCGTAAATATAACAACGGTGACCGCAGAGTACTGCACGTGGGCCGAAAACCTGCGATGTTATGCACGTTTTTATCACTCGAAGAGACTCTCAGCAAACACTACGTGTTTATAACCTCTATTTTCAATCATTTTTCCGATTTATCTTTTAGCTTATCAGTTGCAGGATTTCAAACCTTTTTAGAGCGCTGTGCTGGTTACGTCCTGAGAATATCAAGCAGCAATTATTTCATGCATCTTAATAATCTAAGTAGCGAACCTCAAAAAAAAATCAGGTCATAACTGAGAATATGCTTGGCACATAACTGTGGCAAGAACATTTCGATGAAAACCTTTCCAATTCTTCCTTTTTGCTACAACTTTTCGTGACTGCTGCTACTAGCAGACAATTTTTTTCATTTTCAATTTCTGAACTTACATCAACTCACACACTTGTAGGAAGACGCGAAGAAAGAATAAAGAGAAGGATAGAGTGATCTTTTATTTTCATGCACTCTCTTAGTTCCAGATTTGTCGTTTTTCCTACAACCTTTTTGATTTTATTGTGAGTAATGCTACTAAAGGAAACGAAATGTTTTTTTTTCGATTTTATCTCGCTTATCTGATTTACAGCAACTGCGCAAATCTTAGTGCGTAGAACACCATTATATAAGTTAAATTTTTTATTTTATTTTATCCACCATAGATTTTTTCAATTTTATTTTAGCTGCCATGGAAATTGAATAGTGTTTGAGATGGTCAACTTCGTCATTTTTACAAGTTTTATGTAAGTCTTTTCATTCACCCGCTTCCCCAGCTCCTAATCGGAGTACTCTGCGTTGATACCACTGCTTTTGCAAGAACAACATGGTTGCTTTGCATACTTAACTGTACATAGCTAGAAGAAGTATTAAAGAACAAAAATACGGATAAACATGAATGATTATCAAGTCACCTTCAAACTTGTGTTTGTATAACTATTATGGCAGCAAGATTATCTCAATGAGGGTGTCGCTCTTCACTTATTAGAAGAAATATAAGCAATGCCTTGCTATCGTTTTACATCTAAGGATGAGTAGTATGATCTTTGTCAGTTCCGCCCCTCCCTCCACCTTCCCAAGCGATACCATAATCCCCTGCACTTCCTCTTTAAAATTGTTATCCTTATGATATAGACTTGTTGCAGGTTCGTACTTGTGAGCGTTGCGTATGACATCGATTATTACGGTAACAGTACGCGGTAAGCCCCTAATACTGTTGAAAATTAATCAAGTTTTTTTTCGACATTTTGTCAACACTTGATCGTGAAACTGGCGCATTCTACAGGCTGAATTTGCAGGGAAAGTAAGAAAGTAACCCCTCACGAGGTGATGGAGAATATTCTCTCTCCAAGCTATGACTCACTGATACGCCCTCCTGTTGTTGATGATATGGGTGAGTTAAACAGATACAAGCACTTTCATTAGCCATTAAAAATCGAATTCAAACTTTAGAGAATAATATGCCTGCGCAAATCGACGTACAATGCTATGTTCGCAGATGAGTTAGACACACATTGAACTTTTTGTTACGGCTTATACTTATCGCAGGTGGTAAAGACTTCAATTTCAGCGTGATTGTGGACGTCAGCTTTACTCCAAAAGAAATTTTTTTACAAGTCTAAATTACAATTCTACAAGATTTTAACAATTTAATCAATGTAAAAAAGAAAAATCACTTGCATAACTGAATAACTTATCTAAACTACTTTCGAAAATATTGCATGATATCGGATTTAGAAGAGTAGGAAAAAGGAGAGGGTTTGAAGGAAAGGAAACTATAATTTCGGATGCACCGTCTCACAACCAGAGAACACGGTTTCCTTTCGAGATCGACGTCAAATAAACCTTATTAAAGTGGAAAATGCAGTGGCCCTGTTCGAAAAAGCATATATTTTAGCATGTCAAACATTGACTTCGTCAGAATGGAGTATACGCTACAGTTGACTTTTCGTCAATTTTGGCAGGATCCGAGGTTAGCATACGCGACAATGTTTCCAGGACGGTTGATACCGAATTTTTTGGTGATAACTAAACCTCACCTTATCTGGACTCCAGACACGTTCTTCATGGTATGACAATTTTTGATTTTTTTTGCTAATATTTTGTCATCGGTTACATGTTTGAGAACGAGAAGAAACGCCATACAATAGATAAACTCAATGTTATGTCAAGAATCTATGCAAACGGAGATGTTCTGTACTCAGAACGAATATCTCTTACTTTGTCTTGTGCTATGCACTTACAGGTACGTACTAAGAAGAGCAATTTCATATTTGGATCATTCATTTATTTAGAAATATCCGATGGACGAGCAAATATGCGGCTTATATTTGGCATCATACGCTTACACGAGTGATGATATAGGTAAGTTATACTTTGCCACTGTAGCGACAAACAAATCAAAGTCGCTGCTAACGACCCATGATTGTATTTAAGTGTATATTTTTGTATTCTAGTCAACACTGTCGAACTTTTAAGAAGCTTGTTCTTGAATTTCACAGTGTTTGTTTAGTCTAAGGATGTCAGATCAAAGGCCTATGCCCGCACTTTCAAGATAATATGGAGCTGTGCCCCCGGCATGCGTTTAAGAGAATGACAAATCGAACAACAACGACAGTTTCGACATAGTGCGGCAATATGAACGACGCTTGCAAAGTCGCAATTTTTATTTGCTTCATTCCCAAAGAAAACAGTATAATACTGATGTCTACAATGTGTGAAGTAGGTAAATTAGTCACCATTCGATACTGAGATCTTATTTTTATCTACGAGAAAAACACAGCACTTCTCTCAGTGATGAATTTCAAAGCTTTGAATTGAGTTCATTGGAACTTTGCTATGGTGCTTATTTGACATGCTGATTACAGATATAGTACTCATCCCACGAAATATACAGATATAGTTCTCATTTGAAGTAAATTCTCTTTGTTAACTAACGAGCAAAACTGCATGCTTTTGATGCGCGCAAACCTGCGGTCCAAAACGTGTTGAGTTCATCTTTGTGGCTCTTTTGCACATTGAGTAAACAACAAAGAAAGGTTTTCAGATTTTCACTTCAAAAAATTATCAATTAATCAGTTAGTGTACCGCTTGTCGTCAATATTGATCTTAGAGGATGCAGAACATATTTTTCAATGATTTGTATGATAACAAGCTATGTATCAATATTTATCCACTGTAGAGTACTTGCATCAAAAAAAAATTGCGAGCACCCTCTCCCTTCTCTCATCCTTTCTTCTCTTATCGCCGCTTTTCTCAATGTATACTTCAAACTTTCTCACTTCTCAATTTTTTGACAGCTGTATTATATCCGTGCAGCAGTGGCGTACCGTGGTGGGGGGGGGGGGGGGGAGGGGGGGCACGACCGAAACGGGAATCATAGGCACGCCAGCCGTGCAGTGTATGATTGTGATGTGATAGTACACACCACTGATTGGAAAAAAAACAACGTGGTTCCAGCTTGAAAGCTGAGAAAAACAACTGTCTGGAAGGTTGCTCGAGCGCCGAGCGGCTAATTGTAATTGAAAAATGAGTCGTACATGTTATTCATTATCGGAGTATTGCTGCGCGGTGTTTTGCAGAAGGGATCAAAGCTGAACCGCTTAGGCCCCGGACAGACTTCACGCGATTTGATCGTCGCGACTGAATCGGCGACATTTTCATTCATTTTCATTTCACATTCAAAAATTTCGGGCTGGAAAAGTATCACAACCGAAACGCAAGTTGATCGGCATGGAATGATGTTGCAACAGTTGTCTCCTCGCGATTCAGTCGCGACGATCAAATCGCGTGAAGTTTGTCCGGGGCCTTAGTCAACATTCTTGATTTTCTGCAGAGCAAATTGTTTTTTGTAAAATATCAAAGTTCCAGTCAACAAGTCTTGAGCGACCAACATTCTGGTAATAATGCCAGGCAAAGAGTTGTCATATGCATCAAAACAATCGTGGTGTTTCTAAAGAAGATTTTCTAAGAAATTGCTGACATGTCAGCATGACATGACATTAGTAGCACCATACTCATTTTGTAGTTCTAACACACGAATTTGGTGAAAATCCTAATTTGGGAAACACCGATGCAAAAAATGCACTTTTCTCTTGAAAAAGGACCTGTGTGACCAAACATGGTTTTGTGGTATGAAGGTTGGACCACTTTAAAGCTCAATATTCCTTCAAAACAAATCTTTTATTCCGTAAACGGTAAAAATCTTAATTTGGGAAGCTTCTGCACTGCAGAAAATGCGCTATTCTCTCAAAAGAAGATCCTGTGAGCGAAATGTGGTCTTGCTAGTATAAAGGTTGAAACATTTGGTCCGGTTTTTTTTTCGAAAACAAATTTTTGTTTTTTTTGAAGATATCGTTAAGTTTGATGAAAATGTCGCATTGGAAAGCATTTAGCCGCAGAAAATGCACTTTCTTAGAAGAAGACCCTTTGTGGTTTCGTTGGCACAAGGATCGGTTCATTTTAGCATTGACTATTCTTTTACGAACGTCTTGTTTTCCATTCGAATTCCAAAAATCTTGGGCTTTCAATTCGTTAAGCTGTTAAACTGCAAAAAATGCACGTTTCTCACGGAGAAAAGACTCAGAGCTAACTGCAGACGATGCACTTTTTGCTCTAGAGGAAAACTTTGTGAGCAAACTATGATCTCTTGCCTGAAGGTCGGATTATTTCAGAGCTAGGTAATCTTTCCAAAACGACTCTTTATTTCCCTTGCAAATTTCGAGAATCTTGATGGATGTATCAATTTAAAAAGCATATACGCTGCAGGATATGCAAGAAGACCTTGTGGATTAACTCTGTTTTCGCCTGTAAAACGATGTATGGCCGACAGCATTTGTAGTTAAGCACTTGATAGATATTTTCATCATGGAAATTCTATGAATTGCAATGAAAATGTCAAAGAAAGAATACTGCAGAAATTGCATCCATATAAGTGTACTTTCAGTCGACTTTGTTCAAGCACTGATTGTTGATTGCTATCAATAAGCAATAAATAAGCTATACCAAATTTACCCTTTGCGGTTTATTGAAAAAGAAACTAAATCGTTAATGTTGTGTTATTCAAAGTCAGATTTTTCATTTTATACGCTCTAAAAAATAAGCGCAAATGTAGTGTAGTTATACACCCTGCTAATGTGACCGCACGACTTACTTGTAGCGATTTGAAAGGTAAGCGACATCATCATATATTATTTATACGAAAACATATTTGAGGAACACACATAGGACAGTAAACACGCAATCCTTCATTCTTTCCCTCTCTCCCATATCTGAGTATGGAGACTGCATAATTTTTGAAACTATTGCACGTAACCGGAAGCTTTAACATAATCTACAAGATTTGGGAAAATTTTTGTATGAACTTTGACCTCAGCGAAGCTTTCCTCGTTTTCTCCCATCACAAAAGAATTTTGCCCCCATGATTTAGAAATCCTTTTGACATCACTCTTACTTATATGTGACTCGTTTATGCGTGTGTTTCGGAACTTCCAACCAGAGAGCAGACATTGGTTTTTCGCTAATTCGAGTTATTTGAGTTTATCGCTGGAAAACCGAAGACCCCATCCAATTACATCCGTTTGTGAATACTTCGCTGCCAAATTTTTCTGTGGAGCTAACTGAAATTTCTACCTGCACTGATACAACAGCTACGGGGGAATATTCGTGCGTAAAAGCTGTTTTCACATTGAAAAGAATGTTCAGGCAAGTTTTCCATGTTTTTAATGTTTTTTAAATTTCTATCTTATATATTAGACCGAAGCAAAAGTTCTTCCCTTGATTTAGATCAAGCCGCAAATCCCCAAAGAGAAGATTTACAGATAAATTAAGCACTATTCAATGCATTTCATTCTCTTCAGCAGTTATGGTCACTATGAGACTCTTCTAAAGTCGAAGGAATTGCCAAAGCTTACGAGCTTTCATTTCCGAACTGTTCGGATTTTTATTCGAGACTTTTGAAGGTGCTTCGATAATCGGCTGATAAGGGCGAACCTTTTGCGAATTAATGCAACATTGTATTTCTTTGGTTTCCTTTTAGAATTGCTAAAATAAATTTTCTATAGTCTTCAAGTTTCATATTAGGCCTACTGTAACTTCGTAAAACATGAAATGGTAATCAGTTTAGTTACCATTTAATGCGAATCTTCTCTCCTTTCTAGCCATTTTCTCTTCCAGTCAATGCGAAATTTGCAAGGAAAAATAGCGCATTTTCCATTACGAATGTTCACTGATGCATCCTAAAATTCAAATTCTTTATATTTCAAAACGACAGTCGCTCCTTTACTTTTTATGTCGATAATAGTGTCGAGTTTTGTAATTTCAACATCATGAAGATCTTGCAGTGCTGCAAATCTTGCATTTACGTGTCAAGCGACTTTCTTGGGAGTTAACTTTTAGGCATTATTCAGAAGAAGTCTGAAAAGGGAGTCAAAGATAAAGAGAATCGCATTAGCTTGCAAAAGGTTTGCTCTATCATAACTCGATGACCACGGCCTGCGGAAAGTCGAAAACCAGAAAAAATATACTGAATAAAGGGTCATAAACTTCGGCGATAATTTAGACTCTCGTTGAATGAATTGCATCGTGAGCATAACAGTTAGAGTTGCCTGACGTATTTGTTTAATTTACTCTGTGGCATTTGCGGGTTGGTTAAAGAAAACCTTTTGACCAGTCTACATAGCATCATAAATACAAAGTTTTGAATTTTCAATTTCGGTAAGCAAATGAGTAATTGTAGAGCAGTGATAT